AAAAAATAAGAACCAAGATGCATTATATAAAGGTACAATTCCCAATGAGAAATGTAATTGTGTTGTATACCTACAATGTACCAATAAAAGAATACAAAAAAAAAATGTCACATAAAATTTTTATGTGGAGGGATTCTACATCCAGTTCTACTACTGTTGGTGGAAAATACAAAAATATATTTAAAATATAAAAAGGACTTGGGTATCAATATTAACTATAAAAAAAAATTAACAGAATGAAGGCTCTGAAGTCAAACTACCAGGATTCCTAACTAAGTTTCATCATCTACTTAGAACTGTGTAATCTTAGCAAGCTAAGCTCTCATTCTATAAATCAGGTTCCTTGGCTATAAGGAAAAAGGTACATGGCCCATAATGAATATGATACTTAAATGATAGAATACATGGAAAGTGCCTTAAAGCACCAATTAGTACATGGTAAATATGTGAAAAACATTAATATTTGTTAAAAAGATAACTCAGAAATCTAATGATTTAAAAAGTGACCGTTCCTGTAAAACCACAAACATGTCAAGTATAGTGAACAAGTCACTAATTAAATGCTATTTCTTTTTTTTTTAAATAATCTGATACTTAATAGTGAGGACTTGACCTCTACAAAACAAGCAAAACATCTGAAAACAGGTATGAGACCTCATTATGCACAAGGTACTATTCTAGATGCTTAGAGTACAGCAATGAAAAAAAAATAAAGACAAAATCTCCACATTCTAGTGGGGTTGCTGATAATGTATTTATGACATTATGTAGATTCTAGTCCAAGATGGATCCTTATATCTCAACTAGACCAGAACCTTCCAATCTCCAGGCACAAGATTTCTCATAGCCAACCTGATTTGATTATCTGAGCACAGATGAACATTTACTCCATGGTGCTTTAGTGGACCCCTGCCTCATATTCTGGATAGTTAATCAGATAAGCCTCTGGTCATGAAAACTGAAGAACAATACACACAGCAGTTTTTTTCTAAGAGCATTTTTTCTAATGTCAAAGAAGCTCTACCTTCATTCCTAATAAACCTGTAAGAGTATCTGAAAATCAGGCTTACTCTTCTTTTCTGCCAGATGAAAACTTGGAAGAGCTATGGGTTGCTATCTTGGGATCAAAGGGTAAAGCCCGGTAATGAAGCTAACATGTGGGGCAAAAAAAGGCAAACCAAGAACCAGAGAAAAACTCATTGTCAATAATGTTTGATCTTCTAAATATAGCCAAGAAGCCAGACATACTCCCAGACTTTTCTATTATATCCTTTCTAGCTCAACCAGTTCAGGTTAAATGTTCTGTCATTAACAACAATAATAACAAAAATATCCTAAGTGATGTATAGTCCAATTGCTATCTTAATAGAATAAAACTAAAAAATCAAAACCACTAGTGAAAAAATACAGGAAAATCACATAATATATCTCTTCCAGGATTAGAATGAAAAATAAAGCCCTTACCATACGTGCAAAACATGCAGTAAGGATTCCACTTCCAGATCCTACATCAAGAGCTTTAGCTCCTTCATGCAGTTGATCAAATAAAAGTTCTAGTGCATATGCATGCTGCCGAAAGAAAACAAACCAAATATCCATTTATTTAAGACTCTTATACACGATGACATATAAACAAAGTTACCAACTTTTTACCAATTTTTCTACTATTATTTTGCACTAAAACAATGAAAACATCCTATATTTTTTATCTACATACTTGTATCCACTTCATATTTACATAGAAATTATACTGGAATAATCTTAAATTTGATTATAATTCTTACGTTTATATAAAATATTTTAGTAATTTTAGATATGCAGTGTGTGAATTTTAAAATGTTAATTAAGCCAGACATGGTGGTACACACCTGTAATCCCAGCACTCTGGGAGGCTAAAACAGGAAGATCACAAATTCAAGGCCAGCCTGGCCAAGTTAACAACTTAACAAGACCTTGTCTCAAAATTTTTAAAAAAGGAGGGCTAAGAACGTAGCTCAGTACAAAGGCCCTGGGCTTAATCTCTAGTACCAAATAAATAAATATATTTAATTAAAATTCAAAGTCAAAAGATTTTTTCAAAAAGGATAAAAGTGAATAGTCCTCATCCCATTCCTATCCCCAAACATCCAGCTTCACTTCCTAAAGGCAACCAATGTTACCAGTTTCTTGTGATTCCTTCAAAAAATATTTACTCTATGCATATACAATCAAATACATATGCATTTTCTCATTTAGTACATTTTTAAGGACCGTTTATATCAACACTAAAATAGCTTGTTCATTTTTTTGTATGGCTGGAAAGTATATTATATGGATGTATTTTAATAACATGTCACTAATGAGAGATATTTAAGTTAGCTCCAATCTTCTGAAACAAAGATGACAATCTCATAAGGTGTACCTATAAAATAATAATTATAAAAATCTTATAAAATCCTATTAGTTATACTTTGGACTAGACTAAGAAATTAAACCTTCCCTACTCTATCTTCTTTACAAACTTACATTTTCATACTTTTTCAAAATATGAGATTGGAACTAATGTTATCACAAAAGCTGATTTTAAATCCCTTGTGTTTTCATTATTTAAAATCTTCAAATCCAGCAGCAAGAAATACATGTATTAACAGATTTGGTTGATAAAAATGTACATCCATAAGTTCACAGTAATAAATAAAAACATACTCTACACATGTATACATGGAGAATAAAAGCAAACTTCCCAAATACTAACATAGAAAAGATGATGAATTTTAAAACAGTCTTTGGGCAACCATCTCAGTAATAACTGATTCAGGGAAAAACTGTAAATGCAACTAAAATGAGCCGATTAATATTTGAAGAACAACAGGATATTTACATAAACTACTCAAGATACCTACTAATAATAAAAGAAAAAAAGTAACTTAACAATGGAGTTCAGAAGGAAGTTTTTCAATGAAGAAACCTGGTTGACACTACCTTAAATGTTCAAAGCCAATATCAAAACTGTGACACACTGACATCACATGTCTCTGATAAAATATATTAACTTCTGTGACATTCCAGCAAAAATGCATAACTCATATTGAATTATGAGCTAACATGAAACAAACCCAAATTTGGGATACTATATAAAGTAACTAATCTGTATTCATAAATCTTCAAGCCCATTAAAGCTAAGACTAATGAACTATTCCCTAGTCTTTCTTTAAAAGAAAATTAAAACTAAAATCTAACAATCAAATGATCTGCAATTTTCTTTCCCTTAAGGTGTATTATCAGAACTGAGGAGATCTAAGTAAGGTCTGTAGATTGGATGTCACAGACATATTAATTTCCAGGTTTTGATAAGTTTACATGGGTTATGCAAGATAGTGTTCTTATTTGTAGGTAAAAGTAAAGAGCATCCACCCAGGAGTGATGGCACACACCTGTAATCCCAGCACTCTGGAAGGAGGATTATAAATTCAAGCCCGGCCTAGGACACTTAGTGACTCCCTGTCTCAAAACAAGAGAAAAAAAGGGCTGAGGATGTAGCTCAGCACAAAGGCCCCGAGTTCAATCCCCAGTACTGCCAATAATAATGGTCATCATCATCATCCATCATAATTAGAAATAGACAATGTAGGGCCGGGGATTTAGCTCAGTCGTTTCACCGCCTGCTGCGCAAGCGCAAGGACCCGAGTTTGATACCCCGGTGCCAAAAAAAAAAAAAAAATTAAAAGAAATAGACAATGTCAAAAT